CATATGACAGAACATTGGAAAGATACAAAATGGTGACAATGGAAATTCACCCTTTCCCCAAGTTTCGCAGTCACTACCTAACCCCTCCCTTAGAGGCATCTACTTTTCCCACTTTAAATAATGATTCTTTCAGAGAAATTATTTATTTTTACCCCAACATGTATGAATTACAATTTACTGAATAATCTGCCCCATTGGTTTGAAATGTCACTTTTATGTATAGAACATTTCTATGTGTGTTTCCATTACTCTTTTCAGAACCGTCCTTTTTTGCCTATCTTTTATATTGGCCATTTCTCTAGAATCCTTTTTATTAACTTCTTTTTGATTTTTAAAAATTTCTTCTTTTTTTAAGGGTTTATCCATTATGTTCATTCATTCTTTTTTTTTTTTCCTTTGAGTCTCACTCTGCTGCCCAGGCCAGATTTGCACTGGTGCAACCTCGGCTCACAGCAAACTCCACCTCCTGGGTTCAAGCAATTCTTGTGCCTCAGCCTCCTGAGTAGCTGGGATTACAAGTGCACATCACCATGCTTGTCTAACTTTTGTATTTTTAGTAGACACAGGGTTTCGCCATGTTGGCCAAGCTGGTCTTGAACCCCTGGCCTCAATTGATCCACTGCCTTGGCCTCCCAAAGAGCTAGGATTACAGGTGTGAGCCACCATGCCCAGCCTGTTCATTCTTGTGTTCTTTTTAGTTTAGTCTTTATTTCTGAAGCTTTTTTTTTCTCCAAATTCCTGGTTTAATAAGGACTTGTTTATTTTGAAGAAAAAAAATGTTCCAAACATCGGGCTGTTCACAAAAATAACCCACATTATCAACTTTAGAAAACAAATCTTAAGACTATAACACTAATTATTTTTCTAGAGAATGCATTTGACATGCCAACTCTCATTCACAAAAAATACATTGTTACATTTGGGTGGAACTGCCCCACACAGCACACTAATGTGGGGGTGTAACACACATACTTGTAACTCAAAGCTGCTTTCAGGAGCTACTCAACTAAATGACATTGCCTTTGCAGTAAGGGAAGCAACTACTGAACTTATGTGTGAATGAAAAGAACTGTACTCCCTGCATAACAAGAGATTATTTTGGAGACAGTTGATAGAAACCATACATCCTTTTTATTGTTAAGCCATAAAGAGCTATCAAAATTGACCAGACATGGTGGCTCATGCCTGTAATACCAGCACTTTGGGAGGCTGAGATGGGCGGATCATGAGGTCAAGAGATGGAGACCATCCTGGTCAACAAGGTGAAATCCCGTCTCTACTGAAAATACAGAATTAGCTGGGCAGGATGGTGTACTCCTCTAGTCCCAGCTACTTGAGAGGCTGAGGCAGGAGAATTGCTTGAACCTGGGAGGTGGATGTTGCAGTGAGCTGTGATGCACTCCAGCCTGGTGACAGGACAGAGGGAGACTCCATCTCCAAAAAAAAAAAAGAGGATGGTCTCTATCTCTTGACCTTGTGATCCGCCCCCCTTAGCCTCCCAAGTGCTGGCATTACAGGCGTGAGCCACTGTGCCAGCCTCTCTTTTCTCTTATAATACCTTTGTATGGGATTTGACTACAATCCTTTTCTGTTATTCATTTTCAGATGAAATTGGTTTTTCTCCACTTTGAAAAGGAGTTGTGGTTAAGGATAACTTTTCTAAAACTTCCCCAAACTTCTCTTTTTTTTAATGTAGTATCAAATGATATGGTGGTTTGGTTTGCTTTTTGAGATTTCCTAGCTCTGTTACCCGCTTTGATTTTTATCCTTCATGTCGGCTATTCCTCCCAGTAGTTTGTCCTCTGTGTGGAGCTGCATCCTGGAAAGCTCTTGCTGCTCAGGCTCAAGAGTGGGAAGGGACTAAACTGCTTCAGCCCTTCATAGTCTATCACGGGTCCCTTGTACCTACTCACTTTGAGATTGCGCAAAACCCCTCACAGTTTCAGCTGCTGTTCTCACGTTGGCTCACTGTACTTCCCAGTGAACTTCTGCTGGCAGTTGGAAGGCATCCTGTCTGCCACTCCCTTTTGTGCGGATGCCATACCAGGCAGGTCTGGTACCCATTGGTGATGGCTTGCCTCACCTCTTGTTTTTGGGTTCAGAGGGAAAACTGTTCTCTAGTTTTGTGGTAAAGGGTTTTTGGTTTGATCTATTTCCATAAGAGGATTTGAGGAGATTCAAAACTACACAGCTGCCTCCATCTTTCTACAATCCTGCTCAATCTATTGACATAATTATTTTAAATATGGGAACCCTGTAGTTTTCTGTTCCCTGAAGCAGAGCTCCATTGCCCCAAAACTAGTTAAGACTGTGAATTAGACAAGGCTTGCTGAGTCTCCTCTGTCTAACATGGCGCCTCTGTACTTGGTCAGTCCATATTTTGAGTGAGAAGTAAAAACGTAACAGCCTAAAGGGAGCATGGGTGGAGAATCTAGAGAAAGGCCCTGATCAGAATACGTATCATTTCCTTCTCTTTGTATCTTCTTTCCTAAACATGTATAAAATTGAGCTTCCCATTGCCCTCCTCCCCGCCACCCGCCACCCCGCAAAAAAAAACCTGGTTCATACACAATTTTCTGAATCTCAGTTCATGGTAATGCCATTTTTCCAGTTGCTTGGGCCAGAAACCTTTGAAGTCATTTGACTTCTGTCTTTCCCTCCCAACTGCACACCCAGAATATTAGCAAATTTCACCTGCCCTACTTTCAAACTGCTTCTAGGAACTGTTAACTTCTAACCACATTCCTTCATTTTCACTCGTCCAAGCCCTCATCATTTCCTGCCTAGATTATTGCAATATTCAACCCAGAGGTTCCCAAACTTCTAACTTTACCCAGCCCTTGTCTCACTCCTAGGCCAAAAGAAATACTTAATAGTCCCATTTTTTAAGAAGCTAGGGGGAGGGAACGAAGCAGCACAGGCAGCAAGCAAGTCAGCGCACTGTGGCCCAGGGTGCAGCACCGAGGCTTCCTCCTCCTCTCCCTCCTTGCCCTGTTGGCGCTTACCTCCGCGGTGGCCAAAAAGAAAGACAAGGTGAAGGACGGCCCGGGGAGCGAGTGCACGGAGAAGTGGTCTTGAGGGCCTTGCACCCGCAGAGCAAGGATTGCTGCGTGGGTTTCCGCAAGGGCACCTGCGGCGCCCAGTCCCAGCGCATACGGTGCAGGATCCCCTGCAACTGGGAGGAGGAGTTTGGAGCCGACTGCAAGTACAAGTTTGAGAACTGGGGTGCGTGTGATAGCGGTACCGGCACCAAAGTCCGCCAGGGCACGCTCAAGAAGGCGCGCTACCATTCCCAGTGCCAGGAAACCATTGCGTGACCAACCCCTGCACCCCCAAGACCAAAGCCAAGAAAGGGAAGGGAAAGGACTAGAGGCTAAGCCTGGATGCAGAGGAGCCCCTGGTGTTACCTGGGGCCTGGCCTACGCCCTCCTTCTCCCTGCCCCGAGATATGACCCACTAGTGCCTTCTGTCTGCTTGTTAGTTTTTTGTTTTGTTTTTTTTTTTGAGACGGAGTTTCGCTCTTGTCACCCAGGCTGGAGTGCAATGGGGTGATCTTGGCTCACCGCAACCTCCACCTCCTGGGTTCAGGCAATTCTCCTGCCTCAGCCTCCTGAGTAGCTGGGATTACAGGCACGCACCACCATGCCCAGCTGATTTTTTGTATTTTTAGTAGAGACAGGGTTTCATCATGTTGACCAGGATGGTCTCGATCTCTTGACCTCGTGATCCACCCGCCTCGGCCTCCCAAAGTGCTGGGATTACAGGCTTGAGCCACCGCGCCCGGTCTGCTTGTTAGCTTTTTTTTTTTTTTTTTTTTTTTTTTGATTTTTTTGAGACGGAGTTTCGCTCTTGTTACCCAGGCTGGAGTGCAATGGCACGATCTCGGCTCACCGCAACCTCCGCCCCCTGGGTTCAAGCAATTCTCCTGCCTCAGCCTCCTGAGTAGCTGGGATTACAGGCACGTGCCACCATGCCCAGCTAATGTTTTGTATTTTTAGTAGAGACGGGGTTTCACCATGTTTACCAGGATGGTCTCGATCTCTTGACCTTGTGATCCACCTGCCTCGGCCTCCCAAAGTGCTGGGATTACAGGCTTGAGCCACCGCGCCCGGCCTTGCTGGTTAGCTTTTTTTTTTTTTTTTTTTTTTGAGCATTGTTTTATTTTCTTAACCAAAAGACAAAAACAAAATGAAAACTGGGCTTAGAATATAAGTTCTCATTTTTCAAAGCGAAAGTGTGAAAAGATCCTAGCTAAGGTTGATAACTTAAATAGTGGTAAAAGTAATTAACTTAGAATGATGGCAGCAATCACCAGAAGAAACAGAAAACAGGGGGACTAGGGATGAGGTGGTAGACTTTTACTTTAAAAATAGAGCTTCCAGGCTCACACCTGTAATCCCAGCACTTTGGGAAGTGGGCGGATCACAAGGTCAGGAGCTCAAGACCAGCCTAGCAAACATGGTGAAAGCCCATCTCTACAGAAAACACAGAAAAAAAAATTAGCTGGGCATGGTGGCAGGGACCTGTAATCCCAACTATTTCGGAGGCTGAGGAAGAAGAATTGCTTAAACCCAGGAGGCGGAGATTGCAATGAGCTGAGATCACCCCATTGCACTCCAGCCTGGGCGACAGAGCAAGACTCAGGAAAAAAAAAAAAAAAAGAGCTACACAGCCGATTCCCCATGACGACTTGGCGTACATGCAGTATGTCCTATGGAAGTAAAGTTTTCAAATACCACCATCACCTTCTGTAACTCGTATCAATAAAGTAAAAGCCAGGTACATAAAACATAAAACAAGAACCAAGTATATAAACATACATTAATTGAGTCCCCAGATAAACCAAAAGCAGTTTTTAAAAATATTCACCACCATACCTTTTAAAACAACTTTTCCATTACCCTACAGGAGGAAGTAACCACATTCAAATGTGTTAAGCTATAAAAAAGTAAAAGGGGCTACAAGCTTTATTAAAAGTAAGTAAATGCAATAGTAATACATACAGATGGCACATGGTGCCAATTTTATTTGTAAATATAGTACTCCAACTCAAGTTTACAAGTTACACCTTTGCCACAGCCTTGGCTAAATCTTGAACTAGTGCAGAATTCAGCTGTGCTAGAGTGCTGATCTTAGCATGTTTCGACGTAGCATACTTGTTCTTGACAGTCATGTGCTTTGTAAGCCCTTGATTTACCATGACTATATTCTTAGCCAGGTGCTCCATAACTGGAAGAAGGGATTCTTCAGTGTATGACAGGTAATGCTGTAGAGTTGGCGTCCATTCACCATTATCCAGAATTTTCAGTGCTAAGCAAAAAGCTCCTCCTGCAATTTGAGAAGGAGGAAAGTGCACCATATCATAGTCCAACATAGTTAGTTCCATCAGGTATTTGGCCAAAGTATGCTGGTCAACATCAGCCTCTCCAATCTTAGAGGCTCTCCGAAGGAAGTGCAAAGGTAGAGGCCGACCCAGACCAAAGTTTAAAGCTCTTAGAATCTTCATTTCCATCTGTCTGATTTGGTGCTTAGTGTAAGTGTTGTCAGTCACAAAAGCAAAGTCACCAATTTCTGGAGGGTACATTTCTTCATATTTGCTGGCAATAAACATGGCAGTGACACCAACTAGCTGCAGCATCTTCTTGGGCACACAATTATTCTGCATGAACCGATCAATAATGGAGACAGTCATGTACATAGTCTCCTGCAACAACCTGAATTTCATTTGGACCTGTACTAGCCAGTCAATTAGGATGGCTCTCATGTTTCCAGTGACTTCCCGACCCAGTAGGTATTTTGGTCTGACTGCTTGCTCTTCCTCAAGTTGTCTCAGATAAGCATAAATATCTTTCACATATTCACTACAAAGGTTTGGATCCACTCCATCTTCTGCATCCACATCACTTACTGCAAGAATTACATCAGAGAAAGCCTGACACAGGTCTTCTTCTGCAGGGGCACATCCAGATGTTTCCATTGGGCTTAGAGAGGGAGTGTCAACCAAAATAGGCTCAGGCGAAAGTTTTTCTTCTTTAACAGGCTCAGGTTCTGGCTCTGGCACTGGCTGGGACACCGGCACTGGCACTAGCATAGGTACATTTTCCAGAGGTTTTGGTAGTTTTTTAGCAGTAACTTTTCCAGTAGCTGAAGGTTTTCCTTCCTTTTTCATAGGCATTTTGGCCTGTAGTTTTTCACTGACTTTGTTACCAATGTCCCCAAGAGCTGTTCTTGGCCTCAGTCCGGGCTTGGAGGTTGCAGCAGGGGCCATAGGCACGCGCTTTGCGCCTGCCATACTGATCTTCGTCATATTTTCAGCATTAATTTTCGAGTTCCTGGTGACTCGGAGCGCTATGGCTTCCTCTTCACCAGGCAGCAGCTCAGTAGAGAGGAGCAGAACACTGGAGAACCGACCAGCCGAGGACCTGAACCCACCAGAAACCAACAGCCGTTCCTCCGCAGCCTGCTTGTTAGCTTTAATCAATCATACCCTGCCGTGTCCCTCTCACTTCCCAGCCCCACCCCTAAGTGCCCAAAGTGGGGAGGGTCAAGGGATTCTGGGAAGCCTGAGCCTCCCCCAAAGCAATGTGAGACCCAGAGCCCACTTTGTTCTTCCCCACGATTCCATTACTAAGAAACACATTAAATAAACTGAATTCCCTCCCCACCCCCCAAAAAAGAAGTTAGGTGCCAATAATTTAACATGTATTTTTGCCTATAGTGGGCTAGATAATGGCCACCCAAAGAGATCAGGTCCTTATCCCTGGAACCAGCAGATGTTACCTTATTTGGGAAAAGGACCTTTGGAAGTGATTAAAGATCTTGAGATGGAGAGATGATCCTGAATTATCAGGGTGAGCCCTAAATGCAATCACATGTATCCTTATAAAATGGAGGGCAATGGAGATTTAATGCAGACGGGAGAGGGGAAGGCAACGTGACCATGGACGTAGATAATAGAGTGAGGCAGCCACCAGCCAAAGGATGCCAGCAGCCACCAGAAGCTGGAAGAGGCAAGGAGCAAAATTTCCACATGAGCGTCCAAGGGGAACACAGCCCTGTCAACACCTTAATTTTATTCCAGTGATACTGATTCCAGAACTCTGAGAGTAGCTTTCTGTTTCTTCAAGCCACCAAGTTGTGGTGATTTGTTACAGCAGCCACTGGAAACTAATACAATACTCTAACAAGTAAGTAGCCATCTGAAAAATAATATATTTAAGTTAAAAGAAAACCTCACTCTTTACCACAATCGCTTGCTAATGTGTGCCAGTGGGGTACTGACATCTCAAACCTTGGAATCAAGGACATTACCAGCCTCACTTCCTGTTCCACATTGATTTGCATAGGGCATTTGCCAAAAACCCACCTTCACAAAGATATAGTATCATTGAAAGGAGTGTGGCATGACCTGCTGTTGAAACTATGAACTATACTTACTAGCTAGAAGCTCATAGAGTATCTAACAAATGTTAAGTGTTGCTATGAATCCTTCACAAATTTAAAATTCCCACTTACACCCAGATGAATCTGCTGTAGTATATGGTGTCTTGGGAGCACATTGTTATACTTTTGTTTTTTTTAGACAGGGTCTCACTCTGTTGCCCAGGCTAGAGCGCAGTGGTGTGATCATAACTTACTGCTGCAACCTCAAACCTCAAACCTCAAGAGATCCTTCTACCTCAGCCTCCCAAAGCACTGGGATTATAGGTGTGAGCCACTGTGCCTGGCTGTTACACCTTTTGAACCACAGTCCTAATTGGTTTTCAGGTTCCCACCCTTTTCCCTAAAATTTGTTGACATGGCCATAATGATCCTTTCAAAACACAAATCAGATCCTGTCACTCATTTGCTCAATCCTTCTCATCGCTTCTCATTTCTCACAGAGTCAAAGCCAACATTCTTACAATGAATGGCCTATAAAATCTTACCTACAGCAGGGGTCAGCAAATATTTTCTGTAAAGAGCCAGTTAAATATGTTAGTTTTTGTGGGATAGATTGTCTCTCTCTCAGCAACTCTACTTTGCAGTTGTAGCATGAAAGCAGCCACAGAATACATAAATAAATGAGCATGGCTATGTTCCAATAAAACTTTATTTACAAAAACAGGCTGCACTGGCTTGCTGACTCGTGCCCTACATGATTTACTGCTATGCTCCCCTTCACTGCACTCCAGGCACACTGAGCCCCCTTACTGAGCCTTGAATGCACAAGCAAGCTCCTGACTCAAGGCCTCTACACTTGCTATTCCCTAGTTGGAAAGCTCTTCTTACTGCCAAGTATTTTTTCAAATCTTTTCAATGGGAGTTTCCTTGACCACAGTAGTTGGAATTGGAGTTGCCTCACTGCTTCTCCCTTCCCTCAATCTGATTCCCTGTGCCAGGGCCCATTGCTTCCACAGTATTTTGAATCTTGTAATACACTATGTAATTGACTTCTTTATCATGATAATTTTTGTATTCCACCACTCCTTCATCCATCACTAAACTATAACATCCCTGAGGGCAGGGAAATTTTTGTCTGCTTTGTTCACTGATAACGTGCCTAATGCCTTAAACAGTGTCTGGCACATAGATGATAATCAGTAAATATTTGTGAAATTACTAACTGAGTATTTTTCAGTGTACACACATAGTGACATGCAATTCTTTCTTTTCTTTCTTTTTTTTTTTTTTTGAGAAAGAGTTTCACTCTTGTGTAGGCTGGAGTGCAAAAGCATGATCTTGGCTCACCACAATCTCCACCTCCCAGATTCAAGCGATTCTCCTGCCTCAGCCTCTCAAGTAGCTGATATTACAGGCATGCACCACCATGCTTAGCTAATTTTGTATCTTTAGTAGAGACAGGGTTTCTCCATGTTGGTCAGGCTGGTCTCAAACTCCCAACCTCAGCTGATCCACCTGCCTTGGCCTCCCAAAGTTGGGATTATAGGCGTTAGCCACCACACTTGGCTACCTGCAATTCTTTATCCCTCATTAAAGTTATAGTTCCTGGTCATAATTCAGGCCCTATATTTGAAAAGAAATATGTAAACCAAATATACAATGATAAAATCCTTCACTCTAAATGTCCAATTCTCGAATAGCTATAAAGTTTCTGATGTCATTTAACTCTTGTGGAAATTTGCAACCTTGAAAATGGCACTGTGACCTCAAACAAAGGCTTTGAATTATTGGAAAATAAATTATATAGTACACATCTAGCAAGCAGGTAACAAAAGAAAATATGTCATATAAAATGGATTCCTCATGTACAGATTTAAACATAAATTTAGAAATATATAAGCATTAAACATCTTTCCAAGCATGCATAAGGACTCATTTTCCAAAGTGATCATTTTTCTTGGCGATGAGAGAGACCAGTCTTCAAACAAACTATAGGTGGAGCTCCAAACCACAGATTCACCTTTATGTTACTGGTTTTACAGAAGCCTTCTCAAGAAACAACTTCATTGGGCAATTCCAACTACAGCTGAAAAGAAACATATATGCATACATTCATAATGCACAAACTTAAAAGATCCCAGTGCATTTGGTACATTTCCCTTTATTTGAATCAGCTCATTCTATATCTTTTTCTTCCCAAGTATTTACTTTTCAAATCTATTTGTCATTTTATATTCCCAGTGGACTCACAGCAAAAATTTTAACAATACCAACAATTTGTCTTTAGTACACATTCCATTTCTGCTTTCATAGTCCCTCCATTCCCAAGCAATGTTCAAGATAGGCTGTTTAGTGTCTCTATGCATGGAGCTCACCTAGCCTCCCCTTGAGAATATTGGTCATCTTTTAAAGACTTTTTTTCCTTCTAAACTTTCATCCACGAAAGCCTTAAAACAACTGGAACTCAGTTTTTCTGTTTCATTTTGGTAGACCCATGCCAGACACAGACCCAAGAGCATGATAGATATTCAATAAACATTTTCTCAATTAATAAGGGCATCTACCCTTGAGGCTTTCTGCTTCTAGCTCTAAGTGCCTTGTAGAGAAGGCTGGGTCCCAGAAGCAAAATGGTCATTGTTTTTCACTGTTCATCTCAGCAATCAGTATAATTAGCTAGCCCATTCCTGTAAATCATTTTGGGGACAGTGAGACAATATTTATCTCAACATCTGAACATTCAACAATGTAGAGTGTCACATCTGGGTTCACAAGCCATTCTAGGCAGTGGGGAAAGAGCTGTGGGCAAGACAGAAAAAGATCATGTCTTTCTGGAAATTATATTCTAGTGGGGAATCAAAGACAATTAGCAACCCAAATCATATCAGTGATAAGGACTACCAAGATAATTAAAACAAGACCAACTAATGATGGATGACTGGGTGGCTCCTTAGAATGGGTTGTCAGAGAAGTTCTCCTTGAGGGGTTAACATGTAAACTGAGAAATGAATGATAAGGCAGAGCCGGCCAAATGAAGATCAGAGTAAAAGCACCCCAGAAAGAGGAATCGGCTATACAAAGTTCTTGAGTGGAAAAGCAGATGTTTGGATGGAGTGGGTGGAGAGTATTACGCAAGGAGATTGGAAGATGAAGTCAGAGAGGCAACAGGGGCCAAGTCACTCTGTAATCCCCAGTAAGGAGTATGGATGTTTATTCTAAGTGCTATGGGACTTCACTAAAGAGTTTTAAGCCCAGAAGTGATGGAATCTGATTTTTGCTTTAAAAAGACCACTAGTGGCCAGGCGTGGTGGCTCACACTTGTAATTCAAGCACTTTGGGAGGTTGAGGTGGGTGGATCACCTGAGGTCAGAAGGTAAAGACCAGCATGGCCAACATGGCAAAACCCCATCTCTACTAAAAAAAAAAATACAAAAATTAGCCAGGTGTGGTGGTGGGTGCCTGTAATCCCAGCTACTCAGGAAGCTGAGGAAAGGAGAATTGCTTGAACCCGGGAAGCAGAGGTTGCAGCCAAGATTGCGCCACACCGCACTCCAGCCTGGGTGACAGAGCAAGACTCCATCTCAAAAAAAAAAAAAAAAAAATCATTAGCTGCTGCTGTTGTAAGAATGCATTATAGTAGGTAAGAATGAATGCCCTCCTGTACTAAAGCAATTGTCCCTCTAGGTATGCCACTTAACACAGGAGTACCAACTATGCAAGTGAAATACACCTGAAGTCTGGAGTGTTCCTTGTTTCCCATGCCCCTCCAAAGCTCCTCTGGGTCTGTGTTTTTCTTTTCCTTTTATTCTTTTTGCTTTTTAGTGATAGGGGTCTTACTATGTTGCCCAGGCTGGGATGCAGTGGCTATTCACAGGTGAGATCATAGCACACCACAGCCTTAAACTCCTGGGCTCAAGTGATCCTCCTGGGTTTTTTGTTTTATTTTGTTTTTTGAGAGACATGATCTCATTCTGTTGTCCAGGCTGGAGAGCAGTGGTGCAATCATAGCTCACTATATCCTCAAACTCCTGGGCTTAAACGCTCTTCCTGCCTCAGCCTCCCAAAGTGCTGGGATTATAGGCATGAGCCAGCACACTGGGTCCAGGAGTGTGTTTTCTAAACCTCAATGTTACATATACAATTAAGAACTTCACATTCTAGGCATCTTTTGCTGCTGCCCAAAAATGAGCAGGTAGGAATAAGCATGCAGGAGTGCAGGAGATCTTACATTGGCATATGCAAGAGGCCAGATGGGGGCTGCTATATTCAGGAAAAGTGTTCATGGCCAGGTGTGGGCACCAGAAGGAAAGAGCATCTCAATTCCTAACTTGGTCTTAGTCTGCCAAATGAGCTGCTGAAGCCTATTTGCTAAAAGAATACCTTCCATGCTTAGCCTCCAATCTTTAGGGCAGGGGTAGGCAGGATATTCTCCTCAGTTATGCCAAGAACCTTTTATAGCTCTGATTTCCTGATTGTGTGTACAAAATGGTTTAGTTTTAAACTTTTCCAGTTAAACAAGAAATGAGGAATGTAAAATTTTCACCATGGCCAAGATTTCCTCGTTGTTTCGGTCCCTAGAAAGCTGAGTATTGAACTTTGCCCCAAATATCAAAAAATATAGTCAACATTTACAAATTATCTACCTAAAATGACTAGATCCTTCACTTAGCCATTGCCTTAAGAACTGCTAGCAACTGTGCATATTAACTTTCTGATATCAGGAACAGCCTCTACGTGGCTGGCGCTGGCTGTTTATGACTATGCGCATCCCTTTTATATGTGTGTCTTAGTTATAGCTTCTTAAAGTCTTCGCACCATAATCTTAAAATCTAGGATGTTTGTAAATTCTCTTTACCTGTTAAGCTAAACATAAAAAAAAAGAACTACTTTAGAAATTGAGCTCAATGGGAGTAGATCCCTATGTTTCCTGCCCCACCAGCTCTACTTCTGCGTGTACTTCCACCGTAAGAGTATCCATCTGCTAGATTTGTTTGCTGATGTATCCCTAACACCTAAAACAGAACCTGGAACATAGTAGACACTCAGTAAACATTTACTGACTGAGAGGTTGAATAGATTGGATTTTGGCTTGTGTTGCCTCCTGCCAGAACCCTAGCTACACTGTATGCCCACCCTATGACCAGCATCTCCAGTGCATCAATTTCTTTCTTTTTATTTCTTTTTTTTTTTTTTGAGACGGAATTTCGCTCTTGTTACCCAGGCTGGAGTGCAATGGCGTGATCTCGGCTCACCGCAACCTCCGCCTCCTGGGCTCAGGCAATTCTCCTGCCTCAGCCTCCTGAGTAGCTGGGATTACAGGCACGCACCACCATGCCCAGCTGATTTTTTGTATTTTTAGTAGAGACAGGGTTTAACCATGTTGATCAGGAAGGTCTGGATCTCTTGACCTCGTGATCCACCTGCCTCGGCCTCCCGAAGTGCTGGGATTACAGGCGTGAGCCAGCGCGCCCGGCCAGTGCGTCAATTTCTTTAGGCTCAACCCATTATGTGTACGTTCTGAAGACAGTCACCAGAGAGAGCTTTGAAGATAGAGTAGCGCATTATGTACAATTATCTTCCCAGATTTATCTGCAGTAGATCCATGAGAGTCAATAGTAGACCCAAGTACATTAATGCCTGCTGGGGGCAAAAGGGGAGGTGATGATGCAATTAAGTACTTTCAACCCCAAGTCTGAAAAGTTGATGACTACACAGAATCACTTCAGGTAACTCCAACAGAAATATACACAACAGAGTTTGGGAGAAATGAGAGATCTGGAGGCTGGCTAGGTGGAGGAGGCAACATCTGAACTAGGGCTTTAAGCTAGACCTTGAATAGGTCATGCCATCACATTAACTAACTCACAGGAAGGCTCTCAAAATTTTGGGAAAGTGTCCCCCAGAGACTTAAGACTTTTAAGCCAAAGCATAACGTTTCACAAAGTCTCCTGAGACAGAATGACTAGCAAGCTTGCAGGACCTTTTTGGAAAGAGAGTGTGTATGGATTCATACAGACACACACCTACATGCAGAACGTACCGCTCTGTATCTGATGCATAAAACCACCTTGTCCCAGTCTCAGGGCAGGAACTGTCATACAGATCTTTGTGTCTCCACTGCTTTTGTATGGTGGCTCTTAAGAGATTAAACCCTTTTTTTCGAATATTTTATAGCTTTTTTGACATTAAAAAGTTAGTCTCAGCCCGGTGCAGTGGCACACACCAGTAATCCCAGTACGTTGGGAAGCAGAAGCAGGAAGATTGTTTGAGTCCAGAAGTTGGAGACCACAGTGAGCTTTGATCACACCACTGCAGTCCTGTGCTGGCCTGGGTGACACTGCAAGACCTTGTCTTACCAAAAAAAAAAAAAAAGTTAGACTTATGTTCTTTTCTAAGCAGTAACAACTATTGCCTAATATCTAAGACTAACAATTTTGTGTAGAATGTAACGCAAGCTGAAAAATACATTCGAAAGACTTCCTGTCCCCCAATTTATAAATCCTGGTTTAGCTAAGTATGCAGGGGTACTGGGATCAGCAATCCCTCCTTAAAAGCAGGAGTATTGTGAGCGTGATGAGGGGCTAACCCAAACCAAAATAATTTTAAAACCAAACCTTAGCTTGGTCATTGGTTCCGCCGTCTTTCTTGTTCCTTTTCCTTTACCAAGATGGCCACTGTATCGTTCGCTCCTCATTGGTCAGATTTTCAGCAGGTGATTCACGCCCACCCACTAGCTCTCCATCCCAAGTCCTAAATCCTTGAGAAAGTAACAGACCGACGAGAGGGAGTGGGCGGAGCGAGCGCCGGATGTGACGTTTCCGGAAGCTCCGAGTGTCATCTGCGGGGAAAGGTGGGGAAGGGTCCCGGGAACGTGGTGGGGCGGGGGCTCTGATTGTGGTCGGACTCTGAAGGGGAACGGCTGCCGTGAGTGTGGGGCCTGCAGCCTTCTCTCCGCGAGTCCCCTGCGCGGCCTGCCTTGCTCGAGGCACCCGACGGCTTCGGTCTCCGCGGGCTGGCGCCTGCCCAGCCAGGCCCAGCGTTTCCCCGCCTACTGTGTTTGAACGGTCCTGAAAACCCTGGATGATTGTGCCCGGGCTTGGCAACTTGGTCTTGAGTGCCTTTAAGAAGTGCTCCTCAGGCAGTTGTCAGTGGAGCCCTTCCCACTGTATACGCCCCCTCCGCTCATTCCTGCTACTTCCTTTCTCCTCCCCGTATTTTCCCCTCGGTCCTTTACGCCGCCCTTCCCCCTCATTTGCAGATGCTGCATCCCGTTTTTGGAATTGCTCAACCCGTTGGTAGCCGGCGCCGCTTCCTGGCCTCGGGAGGTGGTTCCTTTCTTAACCCACAAGAACCTCTCCCAAGAGGTACTGAGATGCAACGACCATCCTCTGTTTCAGTTAACTTAAATGGGCTGTGGACTAGGTTTACTAATTAGGCAACTTGGGGAGGTTTTAGATAGGCTTGCGGCTCTCTGAATCCCTAAAAAGGCCTCCTGAGAGATGGACTGTCTCTGCATCCCTAGTAGTCCTCACGGCTTTTGTGCTATTAGTGAGAGTGTTTGAGAGGGGAAGCTTTGTGGAGGCATTGTGACCCGAATATTGCAGAGACCTAAAGATGGAATTGGCTAAGATTACCCCTGAAGGAAGAGTTGTAGCAGAAAAGAAAAACAGTGGATAGACAAACAAATGTAAGGGTGCCTGGGCGGATTGGAGTCCTGACTGAAGCAAAAGATCTCTGTTGGGGTGGGCCAGTTGCCACAGGGCCTTAAATTCCAAGAAATTTTACTGTAGCTTGTATATTCTAGAGCATGCTAATTAGGGTTTCATGTAATGCAATGTGTATCAATTGCCCAGATTTATTTTGGAGATGATAGTGGTGATATCTGGTTGGAATCTGGAATCTGATTCTAACAGCAACTATACCTAGAAAGACTAGAATTGCTGAAGTTTTTGGACCCGAGGAGGGAAATCTGAGTTGGTTGGTTGGTTTTTGCAATCCAAGTTACCATCGTGCCCTTTTGTTATTCAAAGAGTGCTCAGTCTATGAAGATGAGTAAATGGTTGTTTTCAAAATCCAAATTCCTTGCCATGATGAATGAATGATTTTATAGATTGACTGTAGTGGTTTAGTGAGCAGAGATGATTATGAGCATTAATTCCCAGACCAGTTACCCTAACTGACCTTGTGCTCAAATATGAAAAAGTACACCACAGAAAATGTCAGTTACTCTCAGATTAAATAAAAATGGTCAAGCTTGAAGTCAGTTAACAATCCTCATGAAAGTTCACTGAGTGCACTCTGCCAGGTAGTGGGGTGGAGGTATGTGGGTGTCTGGAAGGAGAAATAATAAAAAATGAAAGATACTGCTCCTACTCTTACGGTGCTGTGGGTGGAGCCACCTAATGTAAAGGAATTTGATTAACTTGAACTGAACCTTTAGTTGACCCACTGCGGTTATACTACTTGTACCACCTAATTATGGGACAGGGATTGTACGTTTTCAAGTCTGCCAGTCCTTTCATCATTGTGATTTGGGGTGAGGGTGTCAGTCTTCTTGTAAGAAAGTCTTTTATTTAATAGGAGCCACAGCATTGGGTATGTTTCTCTTATATTTTCTTATTAAGGTAGAGGTCTGTGAGATAAACTGTAAGACACTGCTGGGATGATGGGGACAATGGTATTGATGCCATCTGTTTTTTCTGTCTCAGAACTTAGTCCTGATGTCTGACCATGGAGATGTAAGCCTCCCGCCCGAAGACCGGGTGAGGGCTCTCTCCCAGCTGGGTAGTGCGGTAGAGGTGAATGAAGATATTCCACCCCGTCGGTACTTCCGCTCTGGAGTTGAGATTATCCGAATGGCATCCATTTACTCTGAGGAAGGCAACATTGAACATGCCTTCATCCTCTATAACAAGTATATCACGTAAGACACCTACGGTTTCCTTTTTCCTTTCTGGTGACGGGTGCCTCGCTTATTCAGCTCAAAATTGCTAAAACTACAGAACTTCGCAATATCATCAACATTAATCATTTTTGCTGGCGACTCCTACATATTGGCTGTCCTTGCCATTCAAAGGCATGAGTGCTGAAGGTGTTATTTTCATGACTCAGTAATTTATGAGTAAGAGATTTAGCTCTTTGGCCTATGCCTACATAGCCCAGCTGTTAGACAAAAGAGTTGGTGGTTAAACTAGACATGTTATGTACTGATGAATGCTTTTACTGTCCTCTTTCTACTAAAGCAGCCAGTCATAGAAATATTGTTGGGGTCTAGCAGAGCCAAAATTCCTCACTTCTACTTATTTTGTTGCAAATTGAGTGATACAGGAAAATTTTTTTTCCTCTTAACCTTTATCATAATCATGCAAATCATCAAATAATTAGTAATTGCCTGCAGTTTGTGTGGCTCATCATAATAAGACCTTTCCTTGGAGCTGTTTATCATCTTAGGGTAGGCAGCATAAGTGGAAGATTTCAGTACTATTAACAGCAAACAACTCCTAAAACTCTATTGACAGTGAAATGATACATAATTTAGAAAGAAAATAATATTAAAGGTCTTATTTATCATTTCTAATCTTGTTCTTTCACAATACCAGGACTTTAAAAAAAAATTATAATGTATTTGGTTCTTAGTAGTTCATAGTGTATTTCACCTGCATAATTTCACTTGATCTTCATAGTTCTGTGTGCATGTTGTAGAGCACACTACCCTACATTCTACATATAAGGAAACAAGCTCAGTGTTTGGTGATATGCTCATGTTTGAAGTGACAGACCTTGGTTTTCTAACTTCTAATTCAGGATTTGTTCTACAACATAGGTCCTGTTCTTGTTTTCTATTTAGTAATGTTCTATGAGTCAAAGGTAGTCTTTTGAGATCATAGTCAGGAACCACACTGGCTATTTTTTGGTTATTTTTCTTACTACTGATTTATGATTTATGAGTAGGTAACATAAATTTCTGCAGAATTCAGAGGCACAGAAAAGTAACTATAGTTAAAAGTAAGTCTCAGCTGGGTGTGGTGGCTCTTGCCTGTAAACCCAGCACTTTGGGAGGCTGAGGTGGGCAGATCACCTGAGATCAGGGGTTCAAGACCAGCTTAGCCAACATGGCGAAACCCTGTCTCTACTAAAAATACAAAAATTAATCAGGCATGGTGGTGCAAGCCTGTAATCCTAGCTACTTGGGAGGCTGAGGCAGGAAGATAGCTTGAAACCGGGAGGTGAAGGTTACAGTGAGCTAAGATTGTGCCACTGCACGCCAGACTAGGCCACAGAGTGAGACGCTTGTCTCAAAAAAAAAAGTCTCCCCACCCACTACTCTTTTCCCCCTAACCCTCAGTTCTCCTCAGAGATAATCACTCTTAGTAGTTTCTTAGCTGTCTTCCAAGAGATAATATACACATACCAGTTATATCACATTGTTTTTGATCACATACTCCTCTAAAGCAGGGCTTTTCAACTTTGGCACTATTGACCTTTTGGGCTGAATTCTTTGTTGTGGAAGCTGTCCTGTGTGTAACAGAATGTTTAGCAGCATCCCTGGTTTCTCCTCACTAGATTCCAGTATCCCTCCTCCCCACAGTGTGACAACTAAAAATATCTCCAGATGTTATCTGATGTTCTCCAAGGAACAGAATCACCTCTGTTTGAAAACCAGTGCTCTAAAGAAAAGTAGGTGGAAAAGTGAACTGCCTAGGATTCATATTGTAATTGTAAAGTGGAGAAATGGAACTTTATTGTCTTTTTTATTTAGAAGTGTTGTCTAAGTGAGAAAACCTTAGATAAGTTAAATTTAACAGAGTTTAGTCCAGTACAAAATGGTCTGGGGAACACTTAGGACCAAAAGTGGTGCAGAATGTTCCACTCCATAGTGGAGGTTGTGCAGACTATATTTATAGTCAGAGAAAAGGAAATGAGATACAGAAATAGTCTGATTGGCTACAGTTCTCTGTTTGCCTTATTTGGTCATGTTTTGGCAGCTGTTAGCCTCTGATTGGCTGGAGGTTTCAGCTGCTATGATTGGTTGAGACTCAGCTGTTTGTTATACTTGTAACCTAACTCTTATGTTAAGTTACAGTTTGTTTATACATTAAATTAGGTTACAGTTTACTATGTTTGGAGGCAGCTTTAACTTAACACTTGTTTTGTTAAAGATCTGTAGTTCGTTAATGCCATTATGCCATGTCATGTGGACTCAATGTTGTTAAGCTTTCATGGAATTGTAATTATATTTCTGCTTCTCTTTGCTGTTATGAGTTTTTAATTCCTAGGCACACTATTTAGTTTCCTGAGAAGTTTTTTTTTGACTGCTGTCCTCTTTATATACTCTACTCCTGGTAGGAATAATAGTTTTTTTTTTTTTTTTTTTTTTTTTTTTTTGAGATGGAGTTTTGCTCTTGTTACCCAGGCTGGAGTGCAATGGCACGATCTCGGCTCACCGCAACCTCCGCCTCCTGGGTTCAGGCAATTCTCCTGCCTCAGCCTCCCGAGTAGCTGGGACTACAGGCACGCACCACCATGCCCAGCTAATTTTTTGTATTTTTAGTAGAGACGGGGTTTCACCATGTTGACCAGGTTGGTCTCGATCTCTCGACCTCGTGATCCACCCGCCTCGGCCTCCCAAAGTGCTGGGATTACAGGCTTGAGCCACCGCGCCCGACCTGGAATAATAGTCTTATATATTTCCTATAAGCTTGTAGATTGTTCTCTCAGAATGAAATCCAGGAACACAATTTCTTTGGAGAAACACTAATTCAGAAAGTTCAGTAGAATCACGGATTCAGTCTACCAGGTGTTTTCTGAAGAGCTTTCAGAGTCCTATTGCCCCACAATGGAAAGGGCTTTCAGGGCAAAGACCTTATTTATTCAACACATATGTATTGAGTATACCTGGGATCTACATGGCACTGCACTAGGTCCTGGACACAGAGTAGTGAGTGAAATGGCCTCTGTCCTTATTGGTGTTCCTTTATAGGTATGGGAGAAGACAGTAAACAGATAAGCAAATAAATACAGTTTACCCTTGAACAACACAGAGGTTAGCACCAATCCCCCATGCAATCAATAATATACATATGACTGGGCATGGTGGCTCACGCCTGTAATCCCAGCACTTTGGGAAGCCAAAGTGGGTGCATCACTTGAGGTCAGGAGTTCAAGACCAGACTGGTCATCATGGTGAAACCCCATCTCTACTAAAAATACAAAAATTAGCCTGGTGTGGTGGTAGGTACCTGTAATCCCAACTACTTGGGAGGCTGAGGCAGGAGAATTGCTTGAACTCAGGAGGTGGAGGTTGCACAGTAAGCTGAGATCTTCACTACATTCCAGCCTGGGAACAGAGTGAGACTGTGTCTCAAAAAAAAAAAAAAAAAAAAAGTAAAAAGCATGTAATTTTAGACTCCCCAGAAATGTAACTACTAATAGCATACTGTTGACTGGAAGCTTTATTGATAACATAGTCCGTTATCACATACTTTTTATATGATATGTATTATTTACTATATTCTGACAGAAAAGCTAAAGAAAGAAGAAAATGTTAAGAAAATCATAAAGAATAGAAAATATAGATACTGTTTATTAAGTGGAAGTGGATCATTACAAAAGTCTTCATCCTCGTCATCTTCATGTTGAGTAGGCTGAGGAAGAGGAGGGGTTGGTCTTGCTGTCTCAGGAGTGGCAGAGGCAGAAGGAAATCCATGTATAATGGACCCACAGCATTTAAACCAATGTTGTCTAAAACTCAGCTGTAGTCATGAAATAAGGAAAATGCTATGAAGGCAACGAAGAGTACTGTGATGGAGAATAACCAAGGGTTTATGACTAAATAGCGTAATGTCTGTCTGAGAAGACAAGATTTAAGCTGAGACTTGAGAGATGCAATGAAGTTGGTCATTCCAAGAGCCTAGGACAGAGCATTAAGACACAGGTAACTGTGTTTTGTAGTGCTTAGGTGGAAAAGACCTTAGCACGTTCTGGGGATTGAAGGATCATTGTGTTTGGAGTATAGCCAGAGAAGAGGGAGGATGACTCCAGGTGATGGTGGAGAGGCAAGTGGGGCTGGATGACACAGGATCCATGGGCCATGGTAAGGAGTCTGTTTTTTATCTTGAGAATAACAGCAAGCCATTGAAAAGTTTTAAGTGGGATTCAGAGCTAAACTTGTTATTATTTTTAAAAGAGATGAGGTCTCGGCTGGGTGTGATGGCTCACGCCTGTAATCCCAGCACTTTAGGAGGCTAAGGCGGGTGGATCACCTGAGGTCAGGAGTTCGAGACCAGCCTGGCCAACATGGTAAAACCCTGTCTCTACTAAAAATACAAAAATTAGCTGGGTGTGGTGGCCCACGCCCATAATCCCAGCTACCTGGGAGGCTGAGGGAGGAGACTTGCTTGAACCCGAGCAGTGGAGGTTTCAGTGAGCTGAGATCACACCCCTGCACTCTAGCCTGGGTGACAGAGCAAGACTCTGTCTCAAAAAAAAAAAAAAAAAAATAGAGTTGAGGTCTCACTAATGCTGCCCAGGCTGGTCTCAAACTCCTGGATGCAAGTGATTCTTCCGTCTCAGCCTCCTAAAGTGCTGGGATTACAGGCCTGAACCACCATGTCCCACCAATTTTTTAAAATATAAATTTTGGCTGTTGTAAGTAAATGTTGGAGCAAGTGTTAAGAGAAGGCAGGGAGACTAGTTAGGAAATTCTTGCAGGCTGGTGACTTGAAGTAGTCTGGCAACATGGAAAGATAGGGATGGATTTGATATTTTGGAGGTCAAGTCCATTGGACTTACTTATCACTTAGGGAAAAAGATACTATGGAGGTTGATGTCATGTTTCTGCCTGGAACAACTTACAATGGGGTAGTCCATGTACTGAGATGGGAAAAGTGGTATCTAAAGAGGGCTGGGTAGTGGGGGCATTTA